CTGAAATTGGCGGTGGAAATCCACCTCAGGAGAAAGGCCCCTTGATCTCTTTCCGAAAGGTCACGGGACCTTGAAAACCCTCCGGGCAGAGAGCACAGTTCTACTCCAGAGATCAAAAGCCGTCTCGAGATCAAAAGCAGAGTTGCATTAGGTAAATCTGCTACCCAACGCTGCTATTTAGAGTAGTGAAAAGCCAGGAAGGATGCTCCGCTGAGGTAAAATTAAGGTGCTCCTCACCTTGGGTCTTGCAGCCCCAAGATGCTGAACCACTAAGCCGCCAGGGCTCCTTCAGCAACAGCCCAGTGGAGGTCATTTACTTGGTCTTTGTTTCATGCCTCTAAAACAGTGGTTCTCAACTTGTGGGTCGCGACCCATTTGGGGGAGTCAAACGACCCTTTCACCGGGGTCGCCTAAGACCATCGGAACACACATAAATATTTTACAATATATAATTGCATATTACTTTGTGATTCATCACGATGCTTTAATCATGTTCAATTTGCAACAATGAAAATACATCCTGCATATCAGATATTTACATGACGATTCATAACAGTAGCAAAATGAGGAACTGTACGAAAGGGTTGCGGCATTAGGAAGGTTGAGGACCACTGCTCTAGAAGGAATTAGTTCAACTTGAGCAGGGGTCTTGGCCTTGCTGATTCACCCAAGCATCCCAGCACTTAGTTCAGTGTCTGGAACCCATGGGGGCTCATGCAGGAAAGATGGGAAAGAGGGGAGAGCTCTTTCGCTGGGAGGAGGTGGAGGGTGTCACTCCCTTTGCCATGGACAGCTGGCTCTTTCATCCTGTTCCTGAGAGCCAGCTACAACTGAGGCCCATGAGGTGGAGCCTGACCGGATCAAGACGACCACTTATGGTTGGAGGCTAAGGCTCAGGAGGCATGATGTCATCTGTCACAGTAAAAAAAAAGGCAGTGGAAGATGGAGCACCAAAGAAACTCCCTGGGTGCCGAGATGGAACATCTGCTCTTGTGACCTTATAGGGGGACTCTGGCCCCTAAAGACGACTCTTGGACTCACTAGCCCTGTGCGTTTGTCACCCTTTACAGACAGCTTGTGAATTGTTTCAGAGGAGAAGCAGACTGGCTGAAAAAGATTCGAGAAATCAGGTTTCCTGACCTGAGGGGATAGTCAGGGCAAAGACTGCTGAGGCAGGAACAAATGGGGAAGCTTCTAGCAGCAGAAAGGAAAGCCGTCTGGCTGGCACAAGGAACTGGGACGGGACTCGTGGTTAGAGAGGCCAGCTGGGGCCAGAACATGGAGGAGTTCTTGAAAGAAGCCTCAACACATATTTCTAGGCCTCTACAGAGAAAATGGTGCCCTGCTGGTGCAGTGGTTGCAGGTTGTGCTGCTAACCATGAGGGCAGAAGTTCGAAACCACCAGGCGCTCCGAAGCAGCATTCTACTCCCGCAACTCGCTAGGGTCTTGGAAAGTCACAGCTGCACTTCTACCCTGCCCGATGGGGTTGCTGCGAGTCAGAACGGACTCAATGACAGCGAGTGTGTACAGATGCAGTCATGAGATCGAATGATAGGTTGCATTGGGTCAATCTGCTGCATAAGGTCATCCTCAAGGATGACACTTTGAGGATCAAGGCACACCTGCCCCAACCCATGTGTGGTAGTGATATGTCAATTTGAGAGGATTATGAGTGAAGGGGTGGAGTCTAGCCTGTCAATCGGCTCATAGCCAATGAGGCTTCTGTGTGGGCATGGCCTTCTCCTGGGAATTCTGGGAAATCTGGGATTTTCCTCCTTGGAGGTGGGAGACTCTCTGCTACTCCCTGGGAGACATTGCAGAAGACAAACCACATGGATGCAACCAGACCTCGGAAGCCGGAGAAGCCACAGAGAGACCCCTGCTAGCGCTGAGATGCTTACAACGCCACCAGACCCAAAGACTTCCTACCCAGACTGACACACCAGGGTATTTTTCCATCGCCTCCAAATGCATGAGAAAGTTGGATCCTGAATAAGGAAGACCAGAGACAAACTGATGCCTTTGAGTTCTGGTGCTGGGGAAGAGATTGAAAGTGCTATTCTAAGATCTGGCTTGGAAGACGTACAGCCACCACGCACGCTCCTTAGAGGCAAAGACGGCGAGAGTTAGTCTCACAGACTTGGGACGTGTTATCAGGAGACCAGTCCCTGGAGAAGGACATCATGCTTGGAAAAGCAGCAGGTAGTCCAAAAGAGGTAGGCCCTTGGCAAGACAGATGGACACAGTGGCTCCCACATAATGGTCAGGCTGGCGCCGGACCGGGCAGTGTTCCATTCTGCTGTACGCGTCGTCCGCTGTAACAGAACTACCTCCATCACCTCTAACAAGTACATTAAGTGCCTGGGACAACTGGGGGAACACTGGACCATTGGTCAGAAGAAGCCGAGACTCCACGGATCCAATCACCTGCCTAAGGTCACTCTGGCAGACCCTCACCTGGTTCACAGTGGTCTTCCCTTGACCGACCTGCGTGCTCCAGCCCCGCAGGCTGACTGTCGCTCCACTTCCTAGTCCTGGATTCAGACATGGGGGAGAAAAGGAGTCCACACCGTAGACCAGAGAACCCTGCACCCATCCCTTCACCCAACCTTAGCCAGGGTCATTCTGCCCACCTCAGGCCATGCCTCTTGATGCCTGGAAACATTTACGGTCACAACTGGGGCATATGGGTGCTTGCTGCTAGCACCTAGTAGGTAGAGACTAGGGATGTTGCTAAACATCCCATAATACGCAGAATCCCCACCCCCCACCCCAAGGATAAGGCTTCCTGGGGGGGTGCAATCCTTTAAAGGGCTCAGCCATCAACAGAGATTGGGGAAGACACACGAGGCAGCTATGAAGAAAGCGCTGGCAACCTAGCTCCTGAAAATCCCATGGTTCACCACGCCATGAGGTTGCCATGTGTCTGCACGGACGCACTCCATGGCTGGTGAACTGACCATGGTGCCCACTTGTGACAGACACATCCCCTCCACCCCCCTACCTGGGACTGTCTTGCCTACCTGAGTGGTTCTCTTGGCGCTGGGCTGTCTATGAGGGTGTCCTCGCTCAAGCTGCGGTGCAGAGGGCCCTGGCGGGTCACAGGCCGGGAGGCCACGGCTCTGGTGGCCTGGGACAGGGGACGCCGGCCGGTCACGTAGCTGCGGACCAGGGCGGGCAGGCTGGGGAACCGCTCCTCCTCCAGTTGGAAGAGCGTGGGGGGCCGGCCTGGCCGGGGGCGCAGGGGCACACGGAGCACCTCGAAGTGCAGGGCCAAGCCCTGCCAGCGGCAGGTGAGCACAGGGTGGCCCCCGCGGGACCCTGAAGCGCGAACCAGGAAGTCCCCATCTTGTTGAAGAAGCGTCTCGGCCTTCTGGCATGGGAGATGGAGGCAAACCACTTAGACTTGGGCGTGGAGACCCCATCCACGCAAGAACAAAGCCACCCCGGTTAAGTTTCTGTGGCAGAGACTGGGTCATTCCCCCCTACCCCAAGTCATGGTCTTTTTGCATAGGCACCCAATGGAACTACACTTCCCAGGATCCCTTGAGAAGTTTGGCCAATGGGATGGGAGCAAACTTGCTGTGGGAAGTACCCTAAGCCTTGCCAAGGTGCCAAAGACCGTGGGAGCCACAGGATGGAAAGGCCCAGGGTTTTGACTGATTTCTAGGGCAGAGCTCTTGCATCCCCACGTCTCAAGCACCTGGGGCTGGGACATAGAACAGCCAGGTTGCTTCTTGAGGTTAGCTGGCTCTATCTTGGGTGTCCCTGGGTGATACATACAGTTAACACAGGTGGGCTGCTAATAGAAAGGTTTTGGGTTACGCCCACTCAGATGGGCCTTGGAAGAAAGACCAGGCGATCTAATTCCAAAGAATAAAATCGCCACAGAAAACCCTGCACACACAGGGTTGTCGGGAACCAGAATCCACTTGGTGACATTTTTTTTGCTTTATAAATGTGGCTTCAAGAAAAGCCAATGGCTGGCACCCTTCTGAAGTGACGGCGGCTGTAAATGGCTCCTTTAGAAATGTCTGTGAGCTCTCTTATATCAGCAGTGGTGGGTAGTATCAAAACAGCGGCTGGGGAGAGAGGCACCGCAGACCTGGACAGAGGTACAGGTACGGAATCAATGCAAGGGACAGATTCCTAGCTCTGACTCTGTTCCAGATACTTCTGTAAGTATCCAGCATATTAACTCGGGAAATCTTTATATATTATGGATGGACTTGGATCCCTCCCAAATATGTGTTGGAATCCTCTATTTGTGGATGTAATCTAATGCAATGCAATCATCTTCTAAGTAATGGAATACGATACAACACAATCCTGTTCCAGGATGCAACGTAGTGTAATATAGCCAGTTAATTCGTGTAGGTCATACCATTAATGGAATACGATACAATACAATGTAATCACGTGCCAGAATGCAACCTAGTGTAATAGAGCCAGT